AGACACAATTCAACCCATAACAACCTACTAATTCACTTTTTAAATATATATACATATTTTTAGGACACTATAAGAAAAGAAAATTCTAGGCCAATATCCCTGATGAATAAAGATGCAAAAATCCTCAAGTTGAATTCAACAGCATATTAAAAGGATCATTCCCCACTATCAAGAGGGGTTTATCCCAGAAATGCAAGATGGTTCACCATAGGCAAATCTATAAATGTAATATACCACATTAACAGAAAGAAGGACAAAAACCATATGATCATCTTGATAGAAGCAGAAAAAGCATTTGACAAAATTCAACATCTTTTCTTCATAAATACTCGTAACAAATTAGGTACAGAAGAAATGTACCTCAGCACAATAAAGTCTGTATATGACCAGCCCATAGTTAACATTATATTAAACAATGAAAAGTTGAAAGCGTTTCCTTTAGGATCAGGAACAAGGCAATGTTGCCCACTCTTACCACTTCTATTCTACATAGTACTAGAAATACAGGCCAGAGTAGTCAGGCAAGAGAAATAAATAAAAAGCATCCAAATTGAAAAGAAAAAAGTTAAATCATCCCTGTTTATAGATGACATGATCTTAAATATAGAAAACTCTAAAGGCTCTACCAAAAAACTGTTAGAAATAATAAACAAGTTCAGTGAAGTTGCAAGGTACAAAATCAACATCCAAAAATCAGTAACCTTTCTACACACTAACAATGAACTATCTGAAAAAGAAATCAAGAAAATTCTATTATAATGGCATAAAAAAATTAAATACTTAGAAATAAACTTAATGAAGAAGGTGAAAGACCTATACATGGAAAACTGTAAAGTACTGATGAAAGAAATGGAAGACACAAGTAAATGGGAAGCTATCTCATTTTCATAGATGGGAAGAATTAATATTAAAAGATTCCAAGTGTGCTCCAATGCTATCCAAGAAAATCTACAGATTCAATGCAATCCCTATCAAAATTTCAATAACAGTTTTTACAGAAATAGAAAAAATAATACTATAATTCATGTGGTACTACAAAAGACCCTGAACAGCCAAAGCAATCTTGAGCAAAAAGAACAAAGTCAGAAGCATTGTACTACCTGATATCAAAATATACTACAAAGCTATAGTAATCAAAACAGCATAGAACTGGGATAAAAATACACACATAGACCAATGGAACAGAATAAAGAACACAGAAATAAATTTCCACATTTATGGTCACTTGATTTTTGACAAAAGTGCCAAGAACACACAATGGAGAAAGGATGTATTGTCAATAAATGTTATTGGAAAAACTAAGTATCCACAGATAGAAAAGTGAAATTTAACCCTTATCTTACACCATATACAAAAATCCACTTAAAATGGATAAAAGATTTAAACATAGACCTGAAATTCTAAAACTACTAGAAGAAAAGATAGGTAAAGCACTTCCTGACATTTTTCTGAGTAACAGTGTTTTTGATATGACCTCCAAAAACCACAGACAACAAAAGCAAAATTAGACAAATGGGATTGCATCAAACTAAAAAGTTTCTGCATAGAAAAAAACAATCAATACAGTGAAGAGACAACCTACAGAATGGGAGAAAATATTTGCAAACCATACACCCGATAAGAGTTTAATATCCAAACTATATAAAGAACTCAAACAACTCAACAGAAAGAACCCAAATAAACAATGGGCAAAGGACCTGAATAGACATTTCTCAAAAGATGTACAAATGGCCAACAGATATATGAAAAAAATGCCCAACATCACTAATCATCAGGGAAATACAAATCAAAACCACAATGAGATATCATCTCACACTTGCTAGAGTGACTATTATAAAAAGACAAAAGACAAGTATTGGGAAGGATATGGAAAAAAGGGAAACCTTGCACACTGTTGGTGGGAATGTAAATTAGTACAGTCATTTTGAAAAACAGTATGGAGTTTCCTCAAAAAATTAAAAATAGAGCTATCATATAACATAGCAATTCCACTTCTGGGTATATGTGTATATTTATAGGAAAAGAAATCAGCATGTGAAAGAGATATCTGCACCCCCATGTTCATTACAGCTTTATTCACAATAGTCAAGATATGGAATCAACCTAAGTTGCTTGATAAATAGATAAATTGAATGTGGTATATATACACAATGGAATATTATTCAGCCTTGAAAAAGAAAATCCTGTCATTTGTGACAACATGGGTGAACCTGGAGGACATTATGCTAAGTAAAATAAGCCAGGCCCCAAAAGACAAATACAGAATGATGTCACTTATATGTGTAATCTAAAAAAGTTGAACTCATTGAAGCAGACAGCAGAATGTCATTTCCAGGGGCTGGGAGAGGGAAGGGGGTTTAGGGAGACAGTGGTCGGAGAATACGAAATTTCAATTAGACAAGAGGAATAAGTTCAAGAAAGCTATTTTACAACATGGTGACTACAGTTAAGAACAATGTACTGTATACTTGAAAATCACTAAGAGAGTAAGAGAGTAGACTTTAAGTGTTTCTATTGCATAGTAGGGTGACTATAGCTAATAATGGTTTATAGTATATTTCAAGATAGCTAGAAAAGAGGATATTGAAAGTTATCACAACAGGGCCGGCCCGTGGCTCACTCGGGAGAGTGTGGTGCTGATAACACCAAGGCCACGGGTTCAGATCCCATATAGGGATGGCCGGTTGCTCAATGGGTGAGCGTGGTGCTGACAACACCAAGTCAAGGGTTAAGATCCCCTTACCGGTCATCTTTTTTAAAAAAAAAAAAGAAAGTTATCACAACAAAAAAATGATAGAAGTTTAAGGTGGTGAATATGCTAACCACCCTGATTTGATCATTATACAATGTATACATGTATCAAAACATCACCTTGTACCCATAAGCATGTATAGTTCTATGTCAATTACAAACAATTTTTAAAAATGTGAGGTACTGAATGTTAATTAGCTTGATTTAGCCATTCCACAACGTATGCATATTTAAAAACATCATGTTGTACCCTACATATATATACAATTTTTATTTGTCAATTAAAAAAAATTATTTTAACTTTACTTTTTAAGTACTATAAAGGCCATTCGTGAACTGGAACCTTTAGCTGAAGACTTCAGTATCACACACTTGCAGAAATATTGGACTTTTCTGGTTTTGTTCTCAAAGCATCTGGTTGAGCTACTGCTGTGGCAGGCAGATATTTATACTGTATTCAGTTGGAGCGAAAGTGGCAGCCCTGAGTGGACTCCTCTCCGGAGCATTTCCGGGGACGTGAGGGCTGTGAGGAACCGTGGCTTCATAGCAGTGTTATTCCACGTGTGGTCCTAGCTGCTCTGGTCTGCCCATCCAGCAGTCTGCAAAAAATTCTTACAACAGAGAAGATTCGAGTAATAATTTCATTCAGCGTGAGACACCAGTGACGGTCTGATCACTTAACAATGAACATGTTATGTTGTTCCCACGTTCTCCTAGGAGCTCTGTCATCCATTGGTTGGACTCTCTAATTTCACTGACTAGCACAACATCTCATGAAACTGTGCTCTGTGCAGACCCCCAGAGCAACAGGGCGCCCGGGAGCATTTTAAGTCTCTTTGCAGCACCCAGTCTCAAAACTACCTCCATGGTGAGGCAGGGTCCTGCTTTGGTTAAGTTCCACCAAGACTAGCTACGTAATTTGGGGAGGGCACCCAGTGCAAAATGACACCGCAGGGATCCTTGTTGGGAAAGTATGAATACCTTTGAGACAGCATCAACAGAGTGTTAAGCCAAGTGTAAGGCCCTCCAAGCACGGCCCTGTGTGACCACACAAGCCGCACACCCAGGAGGCCACCCCAGCATCCACCCCCCACCCCACCCCCAGCACTGAGTTTTCCTTGACCTCTGAGGAACTTCCTGAGTGATGCAGCCTCTGAGTTGGCTGGAAGTGTTGACAGGGCTTCATTGTGAAACCATGTTTATTCAGGTGCCAGTTTGTCACTTTCTTTTCATCCCAGGCATGCAGGTTTCCGAGTAGAGAATCCCGACTCTGGCTTCCTCCAAACTCTCACCAGGCACCAGTGACCTGTGTGGCCTGGCCCCTCATCTTTACCAGCAATGCCTCCTCCAGCCCGTGGCCCTCAGGGCCCCCAGGCAGGACTGAAGCAGACCCATGTGCGTATTAAATACAGGTGCACTCTTCACCAAGACCTATTAGGCCCCCTGGGGCCAGGTCTTCAGCTTTCCAAGAGAATCCAGACTTTTATGTGAAATCTCCTAATTTTAAAATGTTAACAACTAAGTAAAAATTTCAAAAGAGAACTGTGCAAGCAAAACAGGTGTCTTTGAGCCCTATTTAGTTGTGAGCTGCAGTTTGCCAACACTGTCTCGTCTGGGGGTCCCTCTGCAGCACCTGCAGGGTCTCCAGGTGTCGTTCCACCAGCCTGCCCGTGAAGACGTCCCGTGTAGGGGAAGGAACATTCTCCTCTATCCTCTGAGGTTTTCCAGCTGGGACTGACATAAAATAGATTAATGGGGAAAAGCCTATACATTGCATTTACATGTACATGATAGCCCCACAAGAAAAATGAAGACCCAAAGAAGTGATGAGGCCCAAGTGCTTACACTCGGTTAAAGAAGAATAGCGATTGTGGAAAAGTAACTTGAGCCTATGGAGAGACTAAAGGAAAGTAAGAGTTATTTTAATGAGGTCTGCTTGTACAGGTTTCTCAGCCTCAACTCTCTGTCTCTGGTGAAGAGTGTTTCTTCTTCCTGGTACAAAACAGGCACCTTCTACATGAGAATTTGACCTCCTGCTTTTATAAAAAAAAAAAGAAAAAGAAAAAGAAAGGTCAGAGCGCCCTTCTGCACTGTCTCCCCCCGTGGTGGCTGCAGGGTTCCAGAAAGGTGTTAACATTACACATGTGCCACTCTTAGGATATACGTGTGTCCTTCAAAAGCAGAGGCCTGGGGTACTGTGGTCTCCTTGATTGCCACATGAGTGGGAAGGACCTTATCAGATCACACACCTGGAGGAGAAGGTGAGAAGGGGAATCGTGGAGTGTCTCAGCAGGGTGAAGGGGACGCTGGCCTTGGAGGAAGCCAGGTGTCCCGGGTAGGTGGGAGCTAGAGGGGAGAAGGGGTGGCCAGTGGAATGGGCATTGAGAGGCTGAGAGAGCCTGGAAGGGCTGTGCCAGAAGAGAGGCCTCAAAGGAGAGAGCAATAAAGACAAGCCCCGCCCCACCTCTCTGCCCAGGGCTGTCCTTGGTGTCCAGGCCTCAGGTCGCAATAATGGCTGTTGGGGCCCTCCTGGAGAACAATATTCCCTTCTAGACATTCTCTATGGAGCAGCGTGGGCATTACTCATGGTTGTGATTTAGAGTTGGCTAGCTGGGCAGCCCCGGGGTCTCTCCAAGGGCAAGAAGCACAGGGCGGTTTCCGGCCTGGCAGCCCCATCGGCTGGCTGCCCAAAGGAGCCTGTGGGATTGGCTGCCTGTGAGTCCCCTGAGAGGAGCAAACACTTGCAGAATTTGTTCATACCTCTCATTGTGGGTTTCTGTTTGATGCCCCATCGGCTGGCTGCCCAAAGGAGCCTGTGGGATTGGCTGCCTGTGAGTCCCCTGAGAGGGGCAAACACTTGCAGAATTTGTTCATACCTCTCATTGTGGGTTTCTGTTTGATGAAGTCAATGTTTCCAGGAAGCACCCTCTGCAGTTTCAATAACACAATAGCTCTTGTGGGCTAGGGGTGGGGTGGGGCAAGGGGACAGCTTGGTAAAGCACCTGATTGACACCATGAATAGGAAAAGGCAGTCAGACATCATTCCTTCCCAGGACGTGTTGTCACCTGGGTCCGATCAGAGAGTGCCAGCCCTGGGATTACCAGGGAAGAGAGGGCAGGAGCTGGGGGAGCAAATGTCTGACCCTGTCTTAGCATGGCATGCTTTGTCACCCAGACCTTGCAGACTGAGACATTAGGACAGGGAAGTCCACACCCAGGCAGGCCCCAGGTTGACAGTGACCCTCAGAAAAGACCTGGACTTCCAAGGAGGATCAAAAGGACTGGAACCCTCTTGGGCCTTAGACCTAGGGACTCAGATAAGTTACCAGGATTTCTTTAGACCACCCGTATTAGTCCATTTCTGTTGCTTATAACACAATACCTGGAACTGGGTAATTTATAAAGAAATATAATTTATTCTTACATTTCAGAGGCTGGGAAATCCAAAGTCCAGGGTACACATCTGGTGATAGCCTTCTTGGTGGTGGCTTTGCAGTGACACAGGGTGTCACATGGCAAGAATGGCTGAGCAAGAAAGAGAGCTAAGCTTCTCACTCACTCTCCTTATAAAGCCATCAGAACCATGCCTATTACTCTGTGTCACAAGGACACAGTCCTCATAATCTAATCACCTCTTAAAGGCCCCACCTTTCAAATACCACAATTGCATTTCCCACCCTCAACTGTTACAGTGGGAATTAATACATGAACCTTTGAGAGATATAATTCAACACATAGCACCGCCCAAGGCCATTGTCAGAGGACGCAGCCAAATTTAAACTGTTAATACAAAGTGACCATCTGTAGATTAAAACATTGGCCAGTGACAGGTGTTATATATATCCTTATAACTGGAATTATTGATAATATCTTTCAAAAAAGTCTATCTGTGCAATATGGAGCCAAGGGAAAATTTGGCAACTATGGTATCTTGAAGATTTAATCAAACTAGATGAAGTATATTTTCTTGCCTAAGTAACCCCATACAGTTTTGAACACTGAATGCATTAACCATGCAGATTTTAACCTTCATTCTCTCTAAATTGTACAGATCCATGGCAAATATTCACGTTAGATATGACTTGTGTTAAACATATTACAGGAAAGATGTGTACTCAATATATTTGCTTCTGTTTTAAAAAAAAAAATCTTTCTAAAGTAAAGGAATTAACCCTTACAGCTTTTTACATAATGTTTTCCACTCTCCTTGCCTACAAAGCAATGCAGAATTTCCACTAATTAACTAAGGTAGCTCTAAATGCACTATTTAGAATGATGAAGATCAACTTTACTAATTATGCATAACTGTGTCAGAACATAAAGGTGTAGAGAGGAGAGGAGAAGGGAGGAGGGGAGGAGGGGGAAGAGTTAGGGTCTCGGACAGTGAGGCAGACTTCCTAGGGGCAGAGCCACCCTTGGAAACAGACAGGAGTGAGCAAGGCCACTTTCTTCCAGGCCAGAGGCAAGCAGCCCATGACTTAACTCTAGATGTGGCTGTCTCCAGGTGTACTTGTCAAAGAGACACTCTGCTATGTCAGCATCTGAAGCTCCGTCATGCACAAGCTCGCTTTGGTGATTGCACCTGCTCATTCAGGTAATGGGCATCATGGAGGTCCTGCAGGTGGGTCGTCTGCGTCTGGAGCTAGTCTGTGCAATTGCAGGAATGACTGACTCACATTCTCTCCCCTCCAGTGTAGTGCAGATTTCATTGTTTCGGCCCTTCCTTTTATTCTCTGGGTTCTGATATCTTGAGGCTCAAAGAGCAGATTTGGCCTCTTCAGTGATTTTGCGCCAGGTTCTCAGCATGTTGTCTCTCCTTCTGGAACTGAAGAAGGAAATATTTCACAAAGTTCTTCAACCTTGCATCCCCACGACAGCAGTCAGGCATGATGGTAGGTGTAAGAAGCATAGAACCCACGTTGACCTGGAGATTGACGGGTGCCTCTGAGTCCTGATGGCGGTTCTGGTACACCTATGTGTAGGTGCTATTGTCCTGGAGGGAGCAAGAGGAGGCTTGGGGTGGAGTAGGGAGGGGAGCATGTCTTGGGGCAGTTCCAAGGGTCCAGGCACAACCAAAGAAGGAAGCCCAGGCAACTCTCTGTGCTGCACTTCTGACCAAACCATGGTGATTTTTACTTTATACCATTGACTTTTACTTCTATGACACAGAGTCATACTCTACATATTGCCAAAAATATTGTAGAGCTGAAAACACAAAATGATGGATTTACAAAGAACCGATATAACCAAACTTTATGTGCCATGCATTTTAGTTACTGCTGCACTGCAAATTACCCAAAATTTAGTGGCTTAAATATAAACATTTATTATCTCACGCAGATTCTGTAGATCAGGAATCTGGGAGCAGCTTGTCTGGGCTGATTCAGCTCTGTGTCTCTCATGAATTAGTCAAGACGTCAGCTAAGGCTACAATCATGTGAAGACTTGACTGGGGCTGGAGGGTTTGCTTCTGCTTTCTGACATGGCTGGCAAGTTGGTGCTGATGTCAATTCACGACCACAACGGACCTCTCCGTAGCATTACCCCAGATCCTCACAACCTGGAAGCTACCTTGCCCCAGAGCAAGTGATCCAGCAGATGGAAGCCACAGTGACTTTACAATCTGGCCTTGGACATCACATTCCGTCACTTCTGCAATATCTTATCGTTTACACAGGATTGGTTCCCCTCCTTAGTGTTGAACAGGATGGCACAAAAGCTTGATACAGGAGGTGATGGTCACTGGAGGCCGTCTAGGAGGACGGCTGCCACGCCATGGGAAATGCATGCCTATGTAAGAATGCAGCAACCCCAAATACCTTCCTGGGAAAAAATGATCAACTGAAATCCTCAGAAAATGCTATTTTTTTCAAGTTTCAAATCTCACCCTGCATTGGAACCAGAAACTCCACTTTCCTTTTTGCTTTCTGCCCACTCCTGCGGCTAAAGCTTGGTGAAATGCTCAGAGGTGAGACCCGCAGGGAGAGGAGATGCAGGGACGCCACGCTTCTCTTTTCTTTCGACTCTTGGAACATATATTACACGTGCGTGAAAATACCAGCAGGATAAAAGACTGCTCTTAATCAATAAATCAAAGCTAAGAAATAACTGAAATTCAGCGAAGCTCAGTTCTAACGTGAAGACCAAAGAAGCAATTTGCTAACATGCTGCAGATGAGGAGCGATAGCTTCAGAGTCATTGAAGGGAGAGCAGAGAGAGCCATGAGGGAAACACGAAGTCACTTCCACAGTGTGACAGGGAATTTTAAGCCGGGGTGGCTGAAGTGAGAAGGGGTAACGTTATTATGTCCCGTCAACTAGCAAGACATTCAAGGAAACTGTCGTTTCATCACAGTCAACGCTTACTGCACGATGATTGTGTGTATCACACTGTGCTCGTTACTTGTGGGGGAAATCTGCAGGGAAACATGGTCCCAGTGTGCAGAGATTATACTTTAGGGCAAGAGATACACATGTACTCAAATAAGTGAAACGTGAGTGTCCACAAGAAAGTACAGGCAAGGGAGTTCGGGAACGCCAAATAAGGACGACCTCCAGGAAGGCTTCCTGGAAGAGATGGCAATTGAATGGGGCATTGCAGATGCACAGGATGTTCATAGCCAGGGCGAGGAAGAGGTGGAACAGGAAGTGGAGCCATTCTGATGGAAGGGCTTGAGCAATGAAACAGAGGTTGGCAAGGGAGGATTTGTTTGGAGAACAGAAACCATCTACACTGTAACTAGAGTGAAGAGTTAGAAGTGGTCAAGGGTAGAGGGCCATTCTGAATGGGAGAAGAGGCTGAGAGGGTACACTGAAACTGGAACGTGAAGGGTTGTTAATACCATAAATTTATTTGTGAGCATTGGAAACTATATCGCCAAGGTTCAAATCCCAGCTCTGCCACTTACCAGCTGTGTGAACTTGAGCAAGATACTTAAACTCTCCATGCCTCGGAGTCTTCATATGAAATGGGATGATAATAGAACCTGCCACATAAGTCTGTGAGATTAAAAGACTTCACGCATGTAGAGCGCTTACAACAGTGCCCGGAATACTGTTCTGTCATCTTTGCTGTCATGACTCATTTGGGGAGAGAACCATGGCAGCTCTGTGAATGGAAAGTAGGGACCAATCTGTGGACTGCTGCAAACGTAAAATGGAAAGATGAATGAACAGTCAGGGGGAGGGGGTCCAAATACATGGCTAAGTTTACACTCCCACGAGAACTAAAAAGACAGAAATTGTGTTGATCAAAAGACTTCACGCATGTAGAGCGCTTACAACAGTGCCCGGAATACTGTTCTGTCATCTTTGTTGTCACGACTCATTTGGGGAGAGAACCATGGCAGCTCTGTGAATGGAAAGTAGGGACCGATCTGTGGACTGCTGCAAACGTAAAATGGAAAGACGAATGAACAGTCAGGGGGAGGGGGTCCAAATACATGGCTAAGTTTACACTCCCACGAGAACTAAAAAGACAGAAATTGTGTTGATTGTGATAAACAAAGTTAAGTTGAAGGAAGAAATTAACCCGCAAATCCCAGGGTTACTATAGGAAGGAACCATTTCTTACCCACAGTGTGCAGCCAGCACTGGCTGGTGGCAGCTTTTGCTCCGCTCAGCTTCTCAGGGACCCAACTTGATGGAACACCCCCCCACACACAAACAATGCAACCCCAGTCTTGGAGCTACATCTGGGGAACAAGTAGCCTCCTTGGTCACTGTGACAGGAGATAAGATCATTGGAGGGTCTCAGAGAAGGTTTTAA